ACTGCGCTCGTCGACGTGCTTAGCAAGCGCCACGAGCCCAAGGTCCAGTACTACAACGGTGGCCACAACGTCGAGTCGACCAACGAGAACAAGCTCATCGACCTCTCGGACCTCACTGCTCTCGTCAACGTGCTCAGCAAGAGGAGCCTCAAGGGCTACGGTGCTCAGATCCACGCTCGCGACATTGCCGAGGACCTCTACCGCCGCGGCAACGACGACGAGGACTGCACCTGCGTCAAGAAGCCCAAGCCGACTCCTCCCAAGCAGACCACCACCACTCCTCCCAAGGACGACTGCCCTCCCCCTCCTCCGGCCCAGACTGTGACCAAGACCCGTCACCACCAGCACACGCAGACCCCCCAGCCCAAGCCCACGGACAAGCCCACGCCCAAGCCCACTGACAAGCCCGAGCCTTCGCCTCCCGCTCCGTCTCCCAAGCCCACGGACAAGCCCACCCCCAAGCCCGAGCCTCACCACGACCAGCCCACCCCTAAGCCCCAGTGCGGCGGTGACGAGGTGTACATCAACGAGGGCCACAACGTTGTTTCGACCAACGAGAACAAGCTGCTTGACCTGAGCAACATCTCGATCAACATTGGTCTGCTCACCGACCTCTTCGGCGGCAAGAAGACGCAGAAGGTTGCGGCTGACTCGGTCTGCAAGGCCAAGGAGGGCTGCTGTGTGCCCAAGTCGGTCTACTACTACAACGGTGGCCACAACGTCGAGTCGACCAACGAGAACAAGGGCATCGACCTTTCGGGTCTCAACCTTGGCCTCAACATCCTCTAAAGGGCTGTAGGCGCTGCCGCCCAGAGGCACTAAGGATAGGATAGTGGCTGTTCGGTTCTTCGAGTCCCCACCCGCCAGGGTTCGCGGGACACGGTAGAAACCACCCACACTTTTCTTCCTCTCCGAGCGCTTCTGAGGCTCTGCCCTCTTCCGGCTTCGGCTGGAATGCTCTTTCTTCTTTCTCTTTTCCCCTCTCTCTCTGATCTTTGGAACCACACTCCCCTACGGAACTCTCTTTCTGGCTAGATTTGTCTCGGCTTTCCCTCTCCTGGAATGAACACACACTCTTTTCTCTCTCTCTTTCGTTTGCGTGAGCGAGTGGGTGGGCCTTTGAGTTTTGCGCTTCGGTCTTCTCACGCTTGTCTTCTCGGTTTTGCTTGAGGTGCTTTCAGCCGGCTCGCGCTTCCACTTGCTTGTCTCGATTTGGTCCACTCTCTCCCTCGTCTGCTCACTCGAGCAAGCTTGCGGCCGGTGCACAGACATTCTTTGTTCGCACTCTCGGTTTCTCTCGCCGTTCGTTCACCTGCTGGTCCCTCTGGAGCAGCTCTTGCTTTTGGTTTCACGACTTGGCCACTCAGCGTTGCATTCTGGGCGATGTCTCGCATTGCGAGTGTTTGCTTTGCGAGTGTGATTCTACGGCGGGTTGGTGGGAAGGAAGTTGCCGACGATCATGTGCGGGATGTTCCACTGATCTCTGCGGATGGTGAACGAAAAACAACAGTGGATGAACGCCGCCTTGGGGTTGTTTGGATCCTTGAGGACGCCCGAGGTGCTAGTTGCGCCTGTTCCCGCCGCGACTGTTCCGGCTGCTGCGCCTGGTGGCTGCTGTTCCTGAGCGACGGGTGTGATTTGCCCGGATGCCGTGGCCGACCTGGGCAGTTGGGCCGCAATGGCATTGGCCGCCTTGCCACTTGTGCCGCCGGCGACGATGGCCTTGTTCTTGGTCCTGAGCACGCACGAGGTCAAGACGGCCTTCTGGCCCGGATCGAAGCTGACCGCGCCGTACTTTTCCCAGTAGTTGACCGCGCTCTCCTCGGCCATGAGCTCGTAGATGCACAGCCTTCCCTCTCGGAGCGATTCGATGGGCACCCCCACAAGTTCGGCAAACTCCTTGTTGCCCTTGTAGATCTCGCCCGTTCTGCGCCACAGACACGCGGGGATGCCCTGCGTGCTAAACACGCGGTCGTAGTCGAGCAGCAGCCGCTCGAACGCCTCCTCGATGAAGACCAGGTCGATGTTGGTGAGGCTCTGTGCGACCGCTCTGAAGGCCGGGCGGAAGACGGAGAGCGGCTTGAGGATGCGGCGCTTGGAGGCGGCCGAGACGTTGCGCTCCATCCAGCGGTTGAGGCGCGCATAGCCGTTGACGTGATTGTACGGACGCAGGAGGCCAGCCTCGTATTTGGCCTGGATGACGCGCGCGAGTCGCTCGTCTCGCGTACCGTCCTTCTGGTCGGCTGCGGTGAGGAAGAATCGCTCGGTCTTGGTGCTGCCGCCCTGGAGTGATGGGATGTAGGAGCCCGATGCAGCTACAGATGAGGGTGCTGCGCCCGCTGCGCCGGACGAAGATGTGGCCGCGGCCGAGTACGACGATCGGCGCGAGCGCTTACCGCCGGCTGCGTCGCCCTGGTTGGCAGAGTTGTTGCCCGATGCATAAGTGCCGAATCCAGCCGTACCACCGATCGACGCTGATCCCGAGTCGTACATGCCCGGCGCGCTGGCCGAGGGCATGGTGGGCAAGCTAGCTCTGGCGTGCGCGCTGGTTTCGCTGTTGTTGATGGGCGTGAGCGCGGTGAGCCCATCGAACGCGCCAACGCCGCTCGAAGGAGCGAGGCCCGAGATGGTATTGCGTCTGCTCTGTGAAGGCGTCAAGCCGGAGCCTGATGCGCCTGCTGCGGTCATACCTGGTGTGGCGCCCGCGCCGAATCCTGGCCCATCTAGGCTTTCGAGAAACTCGCTGAGCAGCGTGAATTCGTTTCCGCCCGCCGAGTCGCCGCCAAAGCCACTTCCGCCACCCTCGTACCCTCCCGGCCCTCCACCGAGTCCAAGCCAGCCTGCGCCGCCAAGGCCGGACATGTCCTGGTTGGGCGCGGGCGCACCTACGCTCTGGGTCGGCGCGGCCAAGCTGGTGCTGACGCTGTTGGGATTGGGAGTGCTGCCGTTGATGCTATTCTGAAAAAGCGATGCGAGCGAAAGCATGTTGTTGGCCGCCATGTCGCCAGATGCGCCCGAGGACGTGGAGGGCTGCATGGCGAGGCTGCCGACGCTGGCGGCGGCGGAAGCTTGTGGCTTGAAGATGGCTGCTGGGTTGAAATCGTTGTTCTGGTTGAGCGATGACAAGGGCGATACGGACGAGTAGGGCCCGGCGGAGCCGCCGCTGAATGCCGCGGCGCTGGCCGAGTTGGAGGATGCGCTGGACGCGGGTGCGGCAGGCTGCACGCCGAGCGTGGGGAAGAAGTTGTTGGTGTCTGTCGAGGCGAGCGCCGTCACTGCCGCCAGCGTAGCCGAGGTTGTGGGTGCGGACGTCGAAGCCACCTCGGTGGCTGGCTTTGCTGTGGAGGCCGAGGCGTGCGTTTTGGGTTTGGACGGCGTCGACGAAGCGGGCGCTTCGTGAGGTTCGTTTGCCTTTGCTGGCGTTGCCTCGTCGTGGCACAGATGACCAATGTCGCGCTTGATGCATCGCTGACACGGCCTGCCTTCGTCGCAGGTCATGTGCGATCGGCGGCAGTAGATGCACGCGAGGTTGACTTTCCTTCGCTTGGACGGCTTCTTCTTGCCGCCGCTGCTGGGCGAATTGTCGGCGTCATCAGCTATGGACGCGCCTTGCTCGCGTTTGACCGACGCTGAACCGTTGGACGATGATGCCTGTGGTGGCTTGGCGGGCGTCGAGGTGGAGTTGGTGTTGTTGGACGAGTAGAGGCTGCGGGGGTCGAAGGGTGCGGCTGTACCGGATGGTGATGGTGTCATGTTGGGCCGGCCATGGACGTCGCGTGTCCTGAAGGTGGATGGGGAAATGAGCCAAGGATGGATGCCCTGACGACGAATCCACGAATGGCATCCGCGACTCGGCCATTTCACGATTCGCAACAGCCGGCTGCTCGAAATTGCGTCGAATCGCCGTCCCCACAAAGCCATCATTTCTCTCCCACTTTCAACTCGCGCTCACAGCGGCCGTTTCGCCACGCGTCTCGCAGCCGCCGCATCGCCATGGTGAACGCGATCTCAATTGCATCGCATCTCTTCTACTTTGCGCTCGATAGCAGCAATCAGAAACATGGCAAACGACTCGAACTTGGCCGCGTCCATGCCGTACGTCCAGTGCATACGCACTTGGATCCCCGCATCGTGAGCTTCGCCGACTGTGATTCGAGCCGTGAGCAGGATCCCGCTTTTTGCTTGGGCCTCTTGCGTGGGGACTGGGTTGGTCTGCAGCTTGGCGCGTCGGGCGCGGCGGGTCCAGCACTCGCTTGAGACCACCACATCGAGTGCACCAGCAAGTTGCGCAGAGTCATCGCAGTCCGAGGCGTAGACGTGGCATCCGTCCAGCGCGTCGAGGATGTCGAGGGCGACGTGCTGCACCTCCCTGCGCGTCCAATTCGGTCCGAGCGCAAACACCTTGCTCCTTCTTTCCGTTGCGACGGGTAGGTCTCGCACCGCAGACGGAAGAGACTCCCTTGCCAGAGGCTGTGCATTGCAATCAGCATGTGTCCGCGATCGTGGGTGGGTGTGGAATACTTACGTCAGGCAGTCGAATTGGAGTCCTGGACCACAGGACCACCCAGCGTTTGGTCCTTCCTCGTCCGGTCGGCAGCTCGTGCACACCCCATCCACCGACATTGCCACTCTTTGCCATGGCCTTGAGCTCGGCTGCCAGCTCCACCACACTCGACAGCTTGCCCATCATGCACGTCCACCACACCACGCCTGCCTGCACCGCACTCTCGCGCAGCATGCGCCGTACAAACTCACCCTCGCCTCCATCCACCACCATCTCGGACGCGGTACCGTGACACACCTAGCACTTCCACCTGTCAGTCTTCTTGTTTTCATGAAGATGGGCAGAGCGGACAAAACTTACCGCACTTGGAGGTTGGCTCTTGAAGCTCGCCGATCGCTGCATGTCGTGCGCGCTCGAGTAGAAGGGCGGATTGCACATTGTAAAGTGCGCCTCTTGCGCCTCGTACTTGCCGCCTACCTGCTTCCACCCCTTTCCTTCAGGTACAAAAGCCTCCCCATCCGAGTGCAGCAATGCAATACGGTCGCCGAGCCCGTTGCTCGCCCGATCCACAATGTGCGTACTTGCATACTGCAGGCTCGCTTCGTCGGTGTCGGTGGCGACAAATCGCCAGTGGGGGAAACAGCGCGTTCCGAGCACAGGATAGATGACCGACGCACCGGTTCCGATATCCAACCCCACCACTGCTTCGCTTGACGAAGTAGAGCCCTGGAAATGGTGCACAAGATGCCACGTCGGCAATGTCCAGCACAGCATCTCGTGGACCAGCGCAATATACGCCAGCCTGTTGGGGACTGTCAGTGGCGAATTTTCATCCTACACGCGCTTGACCCAATGCTTACCGATTCGGAATCTGACAAATGACAACGACATCAGCATGCTGCCCTTTAAGCCTCAAAAGTGGCGAAGCTACTTACGGTGGGGCAAAGGTTCGTGGGCGACAGCGTTGCCTGCACGCCAAAGTCGTGCAGCAACAGCGTTTCTGCCAGACATCTAGCTCGGTTGTTCGACGTCAGCACCTCGTCATCCCGGACACACGCCATGCTGGGCGAGACTCACCTCAAGGCATGCGCATCTTGAAAGTCAATCTTGGCTTCGTAGCCTCCATCGTCGCTCACACTGTGCGCCATATCCACTGTCAGCATAGATGGCCAAGATGCGCGCACGATTCGCACTTACATCCTGGCGAACGTCGGGTGCTTGCGCGCGAGCTCGCGAAAGTCCGGCGCCTTCTTCCTGTACAATGCTGGATCTACAGCCATCGCTATTCAGCGTGTCTCTCCTCATCCTGCGTTCAGGCCTGCATCTGCTTACCTATCTCGGACTTTAGCAGTCTGCGTCGACGACGACTTCCCCACATCCAAACGTTGCACTGCCACTCGACCTGTTCACAGCAAGACAAAGGGGGGTATATGAATTCAGACCGACAAGTTACATGCTTTCGCTCTTTCGCTGCGGGGGGCCGGGGATCAACGCACTGTGGACTTTGCACGCTGCGACCAGACGCGCTGCGCCACGCGTTGGAATGCGTCGTCCATGTCGAGGGCCTCGCCGTCGTGCGCCTGCGCATACAGCAGCTCCAGATCCTGCCTGCGCACCGCCTCGGGTCGGAGCGCACCTAGCTCGGCACGCGAGATGCCGGGTGTGCGGCGTTGGCGCGCTTCGAGTTCGGGCGCGTACTCGAGCATGTGCACGCGCACGTGTCCATACGGCCTCCTCAACCCATCAAACTCGCCCTCTTCTTCGTCCGACGAGCTCGTCATGCTAAAGAGTCCCGTGGGGCGTGTGTCGTCGACAAGCCTGTCGGTCTGCAGATCGGCGTAGCGCACGACCACCTCGAGCTGGTACGTCGGCTCGTCGTGTGGCACCTCGCGCTTGCGCTTGGCTACCGCCTGCACCGCTGCCGCTGTCGCATTCGCCGCCACCTCGTCCTCGTCATCCTCGGCCGCCTCGGCAGACGCCGATGGGATATCCCAGGTGATCTTGACCATGTCAAACGCTTCGGTGCCCAACGCCTCGAGTGCGCTCGCGTTTGCATTTTGACCGGGAAGTTTGAGCTGGCGTAGCGCCATGGCCTGCTGTCGTCGCGACACGTACGCCTGCAGATGGCAGTGCAAGTCGGACAGGAACGCGTGCACGCCAGGCAAGTCGCTAAACTGCGCAAGCATGGTCAGGCCTCCCGCCTCGTTGTCCCTAGCGGCACTGGGAGCGCCACCGGAGAGCTCGCCGCCGAGCACGCTGGGGAGGTACTTTTCGACGAGCTTGAGCAGCGGCACGAAATGCGGCACCGTGTGCCTGATGAGGCGCAGACCATCGAGCGACGACGGCTCGACATCTGCACCCGTGGTGCCCTGGAGCTGGGGAAGCGATTCGAGCATCTGGCTCGGCCGCGCCAAGACGAGGTAGTAGGGCTCGTAGAAGCGGCCGCGCCAGAAGGTGTCCAGTCGGATGCCGAGCGCAAGGTCGGCGTCCTTGTCGGCTGCGGCGGTGGCGGACTCGTTGCGCCGGGCGAGACGGGCACGTCTGCCCACATCGAGGTCGATCTCAAAGCACGTCCATGCGGCCGAGCGGTAGAGGATGGCCTTTTCCTCGAGCGCCCGCAGCTGGTGGCCCAGCTCGTCGTTTTCTGCATCGAGTGTGTCGCGAGGTTCGGGATGGGCGTCTGGGATACGACGGAGCGACTCGAGCTGAGCCTGCAGAAGCGCCTTGTCTGCGCGCAGCTGGTTGAGCCTCGCCTTGACGTCGTCGGCGGTGGCGCTCATGGTCACGACGGATGGTGCGCGAGAAGATGGAGGCGCCAACCAACGCTCTGCAGCGACACCAAACGCGTCACGCGCCGACCCAACGCAACCAACACTCCAATGCGAACCGATCGGCGATCGGGATGTCAGGATCGGGGAAAAAGAGCCGATTGTGCCTGAAAACAGCGCTGACTGGGCCTCGGGCTCAAGTGCAGCCTCGGCGAGCGTGCGTTGGCGGAGCTGCAAGGCTTGGCTGCTCGACCGAGGCGAGCGCGTCGCCAGTCGAAAACCGCCGCAACCCGCGCGTCGAGGCTGGCATTCCAGAGCATGTCATTGCGCTGACCTGCGACACCCACACACACTCGTTTTGGACGTCGGTGGTCGAGTGGTGTACAGTTCCTTTGCAAATGGCTCGATGGAGGTGTTTGCGCCCGGGCAGAACGTTCTTAACGTTCGACGGAAGAAGGCTATTTGCTGGTGTGAAGCTCCAGATGCCGTTGGGTTGGCCATGTGTTGTGCGATCATCGCGCACGAGCCCGCAAGATGCCAGCCTCCCCAAGATCGATTTTGTTGGAGCGGAAAGGCGTGAGGATGCGATGGATGGGATCGAGCGAGCCATGCCGGGCTCAGTCAACCTCCGCTCTCGGAGTTGGAGAGGCGCTGCTGCGAGCTGCATAGCTTGTTTATTCGCGTCTTTGCGGAGCGTGCAGTGAGCCGGGGAGACGAGGCGAGGCGAGGCGAGGCGAG